TTAATATATTGTTTTATAACACATAGTTGATAGAACAGAACAGCTTATTATCTGCTAGTGCACGGAGGAATGAGAAAACATCAACCAATCGTAATAAAAACAAAAAGAAACGCCGCTGCCGGGGATCGAACCCGGGTCACCCGCGTGACAGGCGGGAATACTCACCACTATACTACAACGACTTGCTGTTGACGTCGGCTAGTGATTTAAGTTTTTACTTTATGTTTTTCTAAAACTGGGGAACTCAGTTCGAACATAACATCACGCTTGAACAGCTTAACGATGATAGTGATTTAAGTTTTTAATATACTTTTTACAATGATATGAGATGGAATACTGAATATTTGTGTGTTTTATTATTTTTAATTGTGAGAAAAGTATTTTCGACCAAAACTTCAAAAGAATGACTTCCTTTACTTAGAGACACAAGTCATAATCTTTTATAAAAATTTCAACATTCTTATCAATCATTTTGTTTGATTATTAGTGGCACCCTTTAATAGTAAAAAATATCATCAAAATACTATCTTTGTATCCTATACTACTCCTTGTACGAGTACCATATATTAACTCTTTTTTTATTTAACAAAACACTAGAAAATAGTTCTAAAGATGATTTTCCAAAAATTTTATATGCAAAATGTTTTCCTTCATATGTATCTTTAAGCATAAAATTACCTCCCTTTTGAGATAAAACATAAAAAATCTTTATCCTTACGTGTTATAAATAGAAATTTTTACACCCTATTGAAAAAGCTTAATACCCTATTTATTTTAAACAAATACTATTTTAAAAAATTATATTATATAGCTACCTTTTACCCTTTATAGCAAAATATCTAATTATGGTAACATCCTACCCTTAAGCCACCATATACGCTAATTATTATTTTTCTCTCTCCTTTTTCAGATTTTCTCTCACATAATCACGTTAAAATTCACAAACCATGTTCCCTCTCTCTTTCTCTCTCTTTTGATACACTTTACTCTCTTCTCCCACAAAACCACGATTCAGACTTCTTCTCCCACCCACATTGCCTAGGTCTCCCCCATTCTCACTCCCCAGTTAATTTCTCTCTAAAATCTCGATTTTATTTTCTGATACAAGTTCTTGTGGTAAGTATTTAGCTTCTTAGATTTTGATACAAGTATTTAGCTTCTTAGATTTGGATACAGATTTTTGTTTGCTTTTGAAACAATAATCATTGTTATTGTTTACTCAACAGAAAGCGATCGTTTTTCTCTCCAATGTCGGATTCAACGTCACACAAGATGGTAACCAGAGGTATACCCACCAAACTACTCAATTTCGATGGGCCCTCTTTCTCTTTGCAAATCACTCAAGCGGAGTCGGAATTTGCAGGTGTATCAGCACCTACAGCTTCAGAGAGAAGAACTAAATTACACAATGACAAATCGAAAGAAGTCCAAGTTGTATTCATATATATTCAACATATTGTATTAATATGTATTCAGGAGTATTTGAATACATGTATTTAATATTAAGAGATCATATACCATCCCTGATACAAAAGTCGTTTTGTATTTAGTTGTATTTATATGTATTCAGAAAAAATAATCAGTTCTGATGAATGAAATATTGCATCTTTTTACAACACAATCATATCGTATGTATATAGCAGATTGTATTCATCTGTATTCAGATGTATACCAATACATATATTTAATATTCAGAGATCATATACCAACTATGTATTCAGATTTTATTCAGATCTGTATTCAGAGATCATGAATTAATATAATAGTCGTATTGTAATTATGTATTCAGATTTAATACACCAACTAAATATATACAGAATATATTCGCGAAAAAAGCCAATATGTATCATTGGTTGACCGATTTCTGTATATGAATGTATCAATTCTCTGTTTTTATTTGTTGAACACAGAAGCACACACGGAAAAAAAAAGAGAAAAGGGAAGAAACAGACTATCGGCGAATGCTATGTTTTGATGTATATAACGTTTTAGGAAAAAATTCAGATTATTCGCGTAAAAAAACAATTATGGGTGATGTAATTGGGTTAGTTGAGTTATATTAGGAGTCTATTATGTTAATTTATACACTTTCCGTTAAAAAAAATCTGAATAGACCTGGAATTGTGCAATTTACGTTACGACATACAGTCGAATACAGTCACATACACCCACATACATTCGTCTATCCAGCTGTAGCCCCATGTTTCGCGCCAACTTTTGCTACTGTATCCCATGAATACAGTAGCTTAAATACATCAAATACATCTTATAACAACAGAAAACGTATCTATAATCCGTAATATAGCAAATGGTATTTATAGATAGCTAATTACCGCTAAAAGATAGTGCTTTATGAAAATTTCTCTTATAAATATCAAAAGAGATTTTTTCCTTCCTATACTATATATGAAACTTTATTACCAAAAATGTGCACAGTTTCTAATTTACCCGCCCTGTCCACATTTTTCCTACAATAATTACACCATTCATTAAATACTAATTATTAGTAGCTGAATCTTCTTAATTAGGCGTGCTAAAATTCAGGAACAAAATCTTCTAATTGATTTAGCCACAAATCAAATCTGTTCAAAAGCTCAATTCGTCGAAATCAAATCTGTTCAAAAGCTCAGATCTCTTCTTCGATATTTTCGCTTAAGACACAAATCAAAAGCTCAGTTCGTCGAAATCAGAAGCTCAATTTCAAATTGTAGAAATCAATTCTGCAAAAGCTCTGTTCGTCGACATTCTCTCTACATCTCTCTCTATTTCTCAATCGCAAATTTCAGTAATACAAAGCAAATGAAAAGAGAGCAGCAGTTCCACCATTAACAGCCATTAAAAAGCTTGAAAGCTTTGAATTCAAATTTGGATTTTTTCAAAAATCATTATTTGTTTGGATTGGGTGTTGTTGAAAATAATCGGGAATATGGTTTGGAGTTTATATCTCAATTTTGAGGGGTTTTGGTGAAGATTAGACTTGGTTTTGACTGAATTTCAGATTGAAACTCGAAGAAGAAGAAGACATATTGCAGAAATTGTAGATTATTTGTATTCTGATTGTAGATGCTTTATTTTCTGTTTTCACAAATAAAAAACGGCTAAAACTTCTACAAATCTTCTGAAAAAGCGCAATTATGTCAAAAATCCCAATTATACTACAATTGAATGGGAATTGGGATATAAAAATTCAATGTACCCAGTTTGTAGATATTTTGTAGATAAATTGTAGATTATTTGTATTCTAATTGTAGATGCTTTGTTTTCTGTTTTCACAAATCAAAAACGACTAAAACTTCTACAAATCTTCTGCAGAAAACGCAATTATGTCGAAAATTTCAATTAAACTATAATTGAATGGGAATTGGGACATAAAAATTCAATGTATCCAGTTTGTAGATTATTTGTATTCTGATTGTAGATGCTTTGTTTTCTGTCTTCACAAATAAAAAACGACTAAAACTTCTACACTAATTACTTGGCGCTTCTTTCCGATTGCTTAGACTTTGTTGACTTTATGAGTATGGATGCATCACAACCCTGAAGTTCAGTTTTACGTTACGTAAACGAGCACAATTAGAAGCAATTTTTTGAATTTATAAGTATCTTGAATACAAAATAGAAAATATATTCTAATAATTAAAATTATGAGCAATAGGAAACGGTGTTGACAAGATATATTTTCCATTTCCAGGTGATAGTGCTTTTAACGATAAAACGAATATACGAGATATAGCTTTCTGCGCATTAACTCTGGAATAATGCTTGCATAGAACCAGGTAGAGGTACTGTTTTGTACGGGGTGTTATTCGTCACTGTTTCTCAATTATATATTTTTCATTTTGTAAGTAAATACATTTTTTTCTACACTATATGTAAATAGACACATAGACATTGTATAAAAATAATACAAAGTAAATTGATAAATCATGTAACTAATTTTAGTTGCATGATTCTTTTTATGTTTAATAACAATACATAAACGTGGGTGAGGGTGAGGGTTTGGGAGAGAGAAACGTGGAGGGGTGGGATATACGGTACCTTGAATTAAGAAGGGATATATGCTGCATTAATTGTACCCTTAAAATACACTATGGTATAGAATTGGTAATTTGATATACTAAGTGTAATTAAGTCAAACCTTAAACATTGAGGGTAATAAGGTTTCCTATATGGCATAGGGATGTAAAAATTCCATATCAAAACAGAGGTTTATCATTGCACGGCCCATTTTGAATGATGAGTATTTCGATCTTAAAACTTTATTAGACAATTTCCTAGCATATTTTGTGAATTACTACTATTAGAAAATTATTTGCTCATTCAAATTTCAGAATTAGCTTAGAGCAAAGAAATGCATTTGCGCTTTGAACACTTTGGGTGAGAAAATGATCTCATTCCAATTCCTGTCACACACAAGAGCCAGGATGCTTTTAGTATAAGAAAGTATTATATAAAGAAAATTAGTAAAATTTCATTTGATAGAAGCAAATATTATAATATACTGCTCCCTCCGTTTTAATTTAGATGAAATAGTTTGATTCTGCACAGAGTTTAAGAAAAAAGAAAAAGGCTTTTTAAACTTATGGTCTTAAAAACTTTGGCAGATCATGACATTTGTGTAGTTATAAAAGTTTCTCATTAAGAGTAAAATGAAGAGCTTAAATTTAAATTATTTCTAAATTTAGAAATATATCATTTCTTTTGTAATAGACTAAAAAAGTAAGTACCTCATATAATTTGAAACGGAGGGAGTCGTAAAAAGTGTCTGCAGTAAAATTCTTTTGTAAGTGCGACGGAACATTAATCAAGCAAAGAGCAGATTAAGGTATCATAAACGTGGGCATTTGGTCTAGTGGTATGATTCTCGCTTAGGGTGCGAGAGGTCCCGAGTTCAATTCTCGGAATGCCCCTTCTAATTAGTTGTTTTTGCTACAAAGCAAACTTTTATTTGAATCTTGCATTTGAACCAGCGTATTTTTCTGTAACAAATGCTGGTACAAAAGTAATCTTTAATAGCATTACTGGGACAAATATACATTTAGGTAGCACTGACTGATAAATATACATGGTAATGATATAGCTTTTTACATTCAAATTTCTTCATTACCATCAGATTAGGCCTGTAAGAAAATGATAAAACTGCACAACAGAGAAATGTTGCAAGAAATAGAGAAGATCAGCTTATACCATCAAAGACATATACAACCTATATCACACAACTCCTTTATCATCAGTACTAAAGAGCAATTTTTAGTGTTGATTTATTACTGTTCTCCAGGTGAGTCATTTGTCAATGGGCTGACAATTTCTCTTGAACATTCAGAGGAGCCTACTGATGCTGTCGCTGAAACTTCTTGAGCTGTGCTCGAATATGAATCTGATCTCTTAAGTTCATTGCTGTAGTCCTTCCCTTTAGAATCACTAACATTCCAATAGTCAGTCAACATCTTTTTCACACCAAAACCAAACTGAGAAAACTGTGATCTGTCTCCCTTTACTGGACTAATATGCTGAGAAGGCGAGAAGATTGGTGTGGTGAAAGGAGCTTTGATCTGACTACCTGAGACGTGTCGCGAGAGTGGAGTTCCAATACTTTTATGAGCAATGATGCCTACTTTAGAGATTGGAACAAAATGATCTGAGTGCTTTGTCAAATCATCCACGTAAATAAGGTCATCGATACGAGCCACAATATTGAAAGCCAAGCTCTCAAGCACTCTTGAGTAGCTCTCCAATATTGATTTCCCAACATCCTAAGAACATCATTGAACAACAAATATCAAACATGGAGTAGCTAAACAAGACAATAATAGTAGTGCTGATGAAAAATGAAAAATAAAGGGTGAGTTGATTTCAAGTGAAACCTTGTTATATTGGATCTTGCTCATGTCTAAGGTGGTCTGAGGAAGACCAGGAAACCGTTGTTTTAAGCAAAGCAAAAGGCTTTCAGCTCTATCGGATAGCAGCTCCCTCTTATCAACATCACTCACTAAATCTTTAACCATATCCCACGAGGACTTTGAATTGGATCGGAGCATACTATTTGAGGATTTTGGGTGAGTTCTTCTGCGCCACACGTAAATTGAGGCCTCCACTCGGTTTGCTATTTCCAATGCTTGATGCTCAGAAGATAAATCAAGGCAGTCAAGCAAACATTCAGGTGAAAACTGATCTGAGGTGATATATCGATGAATAAGATCACCTAAGCTAGCTTTTCCATTCTGTAGGTGGATAAAACACAACGCAAAATCAGCACCAATCTTGTAGTTCTCATTACATATATGTAAGAGTCAATATCTGCAAGGAAACCTGTACCTTAGGAAGATTTTCAAGATATGATTCAGGAACCTCCATTTCAGCTAAGGTGTTGCTGTTAATAGCCATTGCAGCTTTCAAGATTTGGTTTGTGCAGTCGCGTTTGTGCTGCAACTGCTTTTTTGCATTTTCGCTGAGACCATCGATGGGGACTCTAGGAACAGGAAGCCACCATTTCTCCTCTTGACGAGGGAGAGGATTTCGAAAAGAGGACGATCCATCAGCGTCTTCCCCTAAGATCCCCTGGTCAACATACCAGAACTCATTGTTTCTGAAACTGTCTAAAATCTCCTGTGAAAGATGCAAGAGAGTTTAGAATACATCATTCAACATCAAAAGGCTGAAATCTCAAGGAAAAGGAAAGTGTGTATCTTACAAGTAACATATTGTCTAGTTTTCGGAGTGCTGGAAGGTTGACATAAAGGTCCAACCGCGGCCTAGAAGTCATTACCTAGAACAAAACATGAAGAGCAAATGAACACAAATGTAACATTAACAGTTTGTCACTCCTACCTAAATATACATAGCCATTCTCAAGCAACAAGTCAAGTTTAAGTCCAAGTTCCAAATATTTGGTAACCATGTAAGACAGAGTAAAACTTGCAATTTACAAATAAACATATTTACCTCAAGCTTAGTGCCATCTGGAAATGTTTGCCAAGAGGGTGTCAATTCTACAATGTAATTACTAACACATAGAAGCCATTCCATTTCTCTTCTCCACATTAACCTCTTCTCTGTTGGTAAAGGTTCTAATCTCCAAATTTGCCCAAAAAGTGTAGCTAAGGGCAAAAAAAGAAAATTTGGAAACACAACTTTTCAATTAGTAAAACAGAAACACCAAAACAAACCAACCCATATTAATTGAAACTAAAATAACAAGGAAACATACCACATAGATTAGTTATAGCATTTGAAATTACAAGTGCTGTGCAAACCCCATTTCCACAACCAGACATGTCTTCACCCAACAGCAGCTTTGAAAATCTTTCCTTCATCATCTCAACTTCTACACAAACCCCAAAAAAATTCAACCAAAAATCCAATTTCCCTTGAATTTAAGAGATTTTGTCCATAGATTTTATTTCAAAAAAGAAAATCCAAATAATATTTGGAGATTATTTTGAACTTGAAATATAGAATTTGAACTTTGAAAAACAGGTTATAGGAGTTCAAGTTTTCATTCCCAAAACTTAGCTCCGCTTTGGCCATAGATTTTGGCTTTTTTGTTTTTCAAAAAAAAAATTGAAAACATTGTTTGTCGTAGAATATGATTAACTTTTGAAAAACTAAACCGGTTTTTGGTGAAAACTTTTCTTTCATTCACAAAACTATCAACTTTGTTTTAAATAAAATGCATGTCCAAATACAACTTCTAACTTCCAAACAAAAAAAAGAAAAATTCAACACAATTTCGAAATTTCTTTTTTCAAATTTCAACGAAATCTATGTCCAAACGCTAGCTTCAATTGCGTTTTCGTGTCTAAACAGCAACTTAAACTTCAAATACTACTTTTTTCCGGATATCAACCGATTCATATCCAAACGCCTAAGAATATGTAGAGTAACATACCTGATAAACAAGACCTTTGTTTTGCTAACTTCCTATTATCCACTTGTGGTTTCTCTACTTCTTCAGACTCATCAGAATTGGAACAATGCTGCTCCTCATTCTTCTTAATATGCCAAACAATTGAAGGTGGTGAACATGAATCCTCAGAGCTACTATGTTCACCATTCACAGTTCCCTCAGAACTTAAACTGCTCTCTCCTCCTTCCTCTTCGTTCACCTCAAAACCATCAACATTCAATTCAATTCCATCAATCTTGTCACTCAAAACCTCCATTTTATCATCAAGAAAAAAACCAGGAGAAGCACAATAAACTGAGTTGTTTGTCACTACTACAACCTCATCAAATTCAAATCTTTTACTGCCAAAAACTTTTGACACTTTTGCTTTTTGATACAGATTCTTGAAAGATTTACAAACTTGGAATTTGAATGCTGAAAAAGGGCCAGGGTTATAGTTCTTGGAGTTTGTACAAGTGTTTATAGGAATAAAATGCTTGAGCCGTGGCTGAAATTGCAGAGAAACCTCTTTTTCCATAAGGTTTTAACTTGAAACATGTCTGCTAACTGGAGAAGTTGTATAATTGAAAAAGAACACAAAAACAAAAAAAGAGAAACTTCGTTTAAGATAAAAGAAGCAATGATAATAATATGTGTAATGAAGAGAAAACAGTTTATAGAGAGTATGTACTTAAATGAGGAGCCTATACAATTACTATATGTCACAGTCACTCGTGTTGTTTTGTTGGGGTTTGCTTAAACAAGAGCTCTTAAATAATTATTGCTTATAACTACATTTTTGTAATAGTATAAGACTTCAATATTCAAGCTCCTTTCTGAGACTTTATTAAAGTTATTGTTGGTGTATATTACTTGGTTGTGGGAGTCGTGTAATTGACGGATCAACCCATAAAGTCTTTTACGTATGTCTTTTATTTTTATTTTTGTGCTAAGATATGATATAATATATGACGTTAATTAGAAAATATTTTTTCATAACGATATTTTTACCGAACTATATTACTAATTCTTTATGATTAAGCGAAGTCAAAGCAAAATTGCATATACATTCACCATTATTAAGTGATAAAATTATTATAAGTAAATAAGACAAGTCATTTATAGTTGTATAAATTAAATCAGTTTCTTCACTTTGATGTAAATACCAAATGTGTTTAAATTTTTCCTATTTTTCGAATTCCAGTTAGAGAAAAATAATATAATGGCGAAATTATTGAAAGAAAAACCAAAAAAAAAAAAAAAAAAACCCCGATAATCTCACTCCCCTCGATTGTTGTCGACCCAACAAGCTAATTAACAAGATTAAAGTTGATTTTTGTCATTATTATCTTGTTTGGTTAATAAGTTTTAAAGCTTGATCTAAACTTAGCTTACACTGAATGTCAATCCATGGAGGAAAACCATATATACAAATATTAAACCGAAAAAAAAGTATCTACTAATAATATTCTTTTTCTTTTCCCTTTAGTTTTTTTCCCTTTATTATAATTCTCTAAAGTCGTCTTCGGCATTATAACAAAGGGAAACTACGTATAGCACAGGTCACAGTGACAGATTATAATTTAGAATTCATGTACCTCTATTTTGTTTGTTTCAGCAATAACTTTGAACTTGAAAGCGCTTTTACCATATTGCAATACAATAATAACAATTAAAAGATCTAGAATTTGAAGTTATGGCTTGTTACAACGATCTCAAGTTAATATATTGTAAATATTTAGTGAATATTTAATATATATTTATATAAAATATAAGCAAAAGCTAATGAGTTCACGTGAATCCCTAACTTACTTGGTAGATCCGCCACTGATTTAGAGCTATATTGAAGTTTCAACGGGTAATAAACTAATCCATGGACAGTTAGAGCACAAAGACGATTCCAAAATTTTAAGTTAATATATAGGTACAAAATTCAAAATATTTACCATTCACTTACAGTAGTATTTAATATTATGCAAATGTTTTAATGATCAATCGAGATAGTAAATACGTTCACACCTACTGTCAGATTAAATAGCGTACAAATTGATGTTCAAAAGCATATATTTGATAATCTGAACATCACTTTAGACGTTACTCCATCCGGTCCAAAATAAGTGATTTTTTGATTGTTTTCACACATATTAAGAAACTTACCTTTTAACATTAATTAGCAATGAAATTGATTATATTAACCTTTACTATCTCTTCACATAAACACTCATAACACATACTCCAACATTATTTACTCCAAGGGCAATGTAGAAAAAAAATAATTAATTCATTCTTGAAATCTGAAAAAATCACTTATTTTGGCCTACAAAAAAGAAGAGAAAAAATCACTTATTATGGACTGGAGGGAGTATTTAATTTGACAAAGTAATAGGAAATACGTGTTTGTTTAATTTTGTTCTTTCCTATCATTTTTGTCTTTCCTCTTTGCTTCTTTCGCTTTCATAGCAAGTTGACGAGGTTCATGTCCTTTAGCTCAACTAAATCTTTGACCTGCAGAAAATGAAGAGCGCCTGTCAATTGGAACTTTTTTATTCGAATTTTCTTTTAAAAATTTTGTGCAGTGCATTTTAAGAGTATTTTTTTTTAATTTCTTATAGAGACTTTAAATGGATTCGTTGCCTAGCTTATTTCGTAGCAATGTTTGACAATAAAACTTAGAAAGAAACAGACTAATTAATTAATTAAGGAAAAAATGGCATGGTATGACAACATATAAAGAAAATTGGCAATATTTTAGCCTTATATTAGGTTTGGCAAAGATAACCACAAAAAATTGGCATCAAATAGCCAAATCCTAAATAACCCTAGTGTTACACCCCATATTTTCGTACGTGAAAGGTGAAAGTATGCCATAAGTGAATTGATGGAAGCTCGGAAATGAGATGTTACATCCCGCATTTTTGTATGTTAAAGTTTCATCGTAAATCGACGTAAGTTCGGGAATGAGATTATTGTGAGATTATAAGCATTATGTTATTTCAAACAAGTGATGAGTAAATTCGTAAAGGTGAGAGGGTAAGCGGATCGAAGAAAATGAGTTTCGTCGAAGTTGTCATTTTGAGATAAAATACGGTCCAGGCTATAATACCTGGTATTTATGGACTAGTGCGATACAAGGTACCACATGACCATAATAGTAAGGTGTACAAAGTGTATAAAAAGTGATATAGTATTTTAAGTAATTTGAGATAATTCTTAATTATATGAATAATTGGTTAATTATTGGATTAATGAGGAATTACCAAGTTAATTAAGGAATTGGTAATTAATTAAATATTTTGGATAAACCTAATGGAGATTAACGTGGTAGCCAAATACCTTACATAAACATGACTTTTGAATTCAAATAAAAAGTGGCAAAACTTGGAGATGTCTTTGGCCAACTAAGCACAAGTGGGGCCCACACCCACTAATACAGAGTTCTTCTCTAAAATCACCAAATAAAGAAGGGTCACACTTACAATGATCATAATTTTCAATAGTAATGTGAATTACTTCATCAAGTTCATACAACACTACAAAAAGTAACTGATGAATGCTCAACAAATTCATATGAAAATGTAGCAACGGGATTTTGCAATTCTAAGGGAGTACGGTGCAATCCTTCTCAAGAATATCGTACGGATTTTTCCCTACTTTGATTCGCCATTACGGGTTGTCGCAATTGACGTGTGTTTGAGGGATTGTCACGAGAATCGGCTCAGGCATGTTAAGGCTAAACCTTTCTTCATTTTGGCATGATCTTGTAATTACATATGTTTGATAACGAGGCATAAAGAGAAGTTCATACTCCCGAATTTATATACATTATCCTACTCTCATAAGTTACAGTATTCACCCTTATCGGGACTTCATATTCAATTGAGTATTGTCTTCTTTCAGTCAAGAGAGCAGAGAGTCTATATATACAGTATTACAGTATTTTCACCACCATCGAGCTATATTCGGTGGACAGGCCCCTCTTGGGCAACCTCTGATCGGATGGTAAGTTATATACCGAGCCTACTGTGGCCGAGCACCTATGAGCGAGCCTAGTTGGCCGAGATACAGAGCCTAGTATGGCCGAGCGCCTATGAACGAGCCTACTATGGCAAATCAGTTATATATACCGAGCCTTATAAGGCCGGATAACTGTTTTACTTACTATATTGAGAGAGTTGAATCAGTATCAGTAGGTGAGCATATCTTCAGATTATCTTTGACTCCCAATTACTTTCAGTTATTGTATTATCAGTTCAGTTTCGGCTTTCAGTATATTGCCTTACATACTCGTTACATTATTTCGTACTGATGTCCCTTTTCTGGGGGCGCTGCATTTCATGCGTGCAAGTTCAGACAGATAGACGGGTAGACCTCCTCATTAGGTGTTGCCTGAGTTCAGCTTGATCGGTAAGCTCCATGCCCTTTGGAGTTGCCGGGTCTAGAGCTTTATGTACATCTTATGTATAAATCTATATATGTTATGAGTAGGTCTGGGCCCTGTTCCGATCATAGTATATCCATCAGTAGAGGCTTGTAGACATATCCTGTTAGTTAGTGCAGTATGTTGGGCTTGTAGGCTTTTTATGTATATTTTGTTGGTTTGCCAGCCGTAATAGTTATGACGACCTTGTCGACGCAGCTTTATATTGATGTTTAGTCAGCATTCGCAATTGTCTTGCGATGTGGACCATGGCCAAAGTATGACTTTATGTTCAGAGTCCCTTAGTCTCAAGTTGGTACACAATGATAGGTGAGGCACCGGGTGCCGGTCTCGCACCCAGGTTCGGAGCGTGACAAAAGTGGTATCAGAGCAGTTTTGTCCTAGGGAGTCTATAAGTCGTGTCTAGTAGAGTCTTGTTTATGGGTGTGTCGTGCACCACACTTATAAGCAGGAGACTATATGGCATTTAGGACTGTCACTCTTTCTTCTTGCTCTAGATCGTGTGGTAGAGCTCACTTATAAGAATTCACATTCCTAAATTCTATTTTATTCGTAATACAACGATACCTACATCCAGAAGGACAGTTGGTAAGGAAAAGAATGCGATTGTGGAAGAATTGAGTTGGAGGAACTCGAATTTGCATCATGCTTATGATGAGTAAATGTAGGTCTCCAGTAGATCATGTGTGTACTAAGACGTGTGAACTTCTGAAGAAGGAGCCCTAAGGCATGAATATCTATCCACCCATATGGTAAAAAGCAACGAGAGATTCAGAAGGTAGATACAAGCTTCAACAAGTAAAAGGAGCAAGATGATAAGGGTGCGAGGTACCCAGTTAATGAAGATTATCGGTATTTACAACTCAGGCAGAAAAATATAAGCATTGTGAGTTACCTTCAACAGTAATAGAGGTATGTATAGTTGGCCAACCCATCTCAGTTACGCCCTATGGGAGCTAACAGGTGTAGTTTAAGAAAAGGACGGGATATCAGGATTCGGCTGCGGTTAGAGTAACCCAAAATGGTGGATGGATTGTTTGTGTTAGTTGACATTTCTGAAGGATATTAAAAGATGCTAATAGATCTCCTCGTGAGACACCCAGATGGTGCACTCTAGAATAGTATAGCTGGATATGAATACTAGAATATTCAAAAAAAACTTTTTTTTTAATAAAGATAGGCACCGAAAGCCTGGAAGGGATAAATATTATCTTAGCGTGGCTCCCGTCCCTAGTAAAGAAAGAATGTTAGGCAACCCGAAGAGCCAGTAGATGGAGCAAGGGGAGCTAAAAGCAAAT